TATGTGTTAAGGTAATTCGATTAGTTGACGGCTGGACATGTTCAATCTTGATAGAAGAAAAGATAATGGTCTACTGAACAAGACAGTCACTTGACTTGACAACAGGAACTATGCAACTGTCCAATTGGTTTACATTTATTTAATATTGTTTCTAATTTTGTCAAATCGTGTGCCATAGAACTCTAATTGATTTTCATTTCTAGTATTTATTTGTAGGCATCCGGATTTTGCATGGAATAAAAAAAATTCAGAAAACAGAAAAATTATTCAATAATGAAGTCATAATTGGGGATAGACTATTCTTATGACGTCGTACATGATAATAGTAGTGTAAAAAGTGTAACGATCACAAGTACAAAATGCAGAATGTATAGGTTTACTGGTTGTAGTTGTGCCTTGGGGAAACTGAATTAGAATGCTCACGTGAATCTTTTCAAGTATTACTTATTTTACATACGAATTTTGGTGAGAATGAGTTTATGAGCATGCGCTCAGTTTACTCATTATCACGAGAGAAAAACTTTTACTTGCGTAGTTCCATGTATTTCTGAAATAGAGAAATAACTAGAAAAACTATATGTTTTGGTATTACTCAGCAATGACAGTGTTTACTTCCATATTTTTTTCTCAATATATTCATGCAAGAAATAGAGTTTCTGAAGTAGTATCTAATTTTGCTTTTCAATAGTGTTTTTTAGGATGTAAATAATTTTGTCAGCATGTAAAGACTCATTTTGCTTCGCTTTACATTATTTGTTTTTATTTACAAGTATAGAGTTAACGTTTTTGAAAAGTTCGAGGGTAACGGGGAATGATGCCCAAAATTTTTCGTTTCTCATTATCTATTAAAGTATCGTTAACGATAACTTTGTATCACTAGTACTTCAAAGTATTTCTATGTATTTTCGGAATATAGAAATACTGTTTTCCCCCTTAGCTTCATATCTTTTGGTACAGACAATGTAAACATTGAGCACCAGCTTTCAAGTGAATTTTGACATCTTTAAATTATAAACATGAGCGTGCTAGAAGATTGATACCTCACACTTAAAACTATCTTGTACCAGTACAATTTTTTGCTTTGATTACAATTATGATATTTAGGATTCGATGGATTCAACTACCTATATCCAATGCACCAAGAAGACTGAAGAGAACGATGAAGATAGAAATAGAAAAACATAGAAGACAAAAATCATTGATCAGTCGATCATGCTTTTTTTGAACAATTCCTATAAAATGATATAACTTTGAACACTCATTTATTACTATTGGTGATTTTTAGAACTTTCTCGAATCGCGATTTTGCACTTCAACATTTTATATTTCGAGTTTTTGAGCATTCAAGACTTTTTCGATGCTTCGATTTGCAATATTACTCCTTTCGGGTTATTAGAAATCCTTCAAACAAAATATGATTTTATCAGTTGATTTGGCGAAGCATTAAAAAAACCAAGACTTCAATTTTAAACACGCATCTTCAATAGAATATTGGAATTCATTGAAATCTGAAAGTTTTAATTTATTTTCGTATAGGTAATAATTTTGGCATATTAATAAATGGATATGAGCCGAACTGTGAGGTTATCAGTATATTAAGTGAATAGTACTAGATGTAACAAAACAATGATGTAGAAGCGAATTAGATCATTCTTGGATGTATTACTTATCGTCAGAAAAAAATTTCAAGGAATAATCTAATTTTTTTGAACATATCACGTATTTTAAGTATTATTTTGCACGTCATCTTCGGAAAAAATGTCTTTCATCTTATTTTTATGTTTGTTTTTGATCTTCAAAATCATTGTCATTGATATTTCAAATGATATCAATGGATGGACTCATTTGATAAACCAAGATATTAAAAAAAGTCAATACTTAGTTCGAGCAAAAATATTTGCTTTTTTTCATTCTATTAAATACTTTTACGAAAACAATGAAGCAAAAAACTTGAAAATTTTATTGATGGGGGAGAATATTGACTTATACGAATAGAAGAATAAGTAATAAAAGAATTATTATTCTAATAAAGTTGAATGTACTAATTGAAGGTGAAGCGTTGGGTTTTGGAAGCGTCATCTTTGTTGTTGTTGATTCTGTAAATGATTGACATCCATTCCTATTTTTATAGGCACCCCAACATGCTGCATACGCCATTTTATGTGCAATTGTATGTTGTTCCATCGTTCCAATGAATAAATGACTCCATGGTCCACGAGCATACACAGGCACATCTTCACCTCCATGAGTTTCACTGCTTAGTGGCATAGCAGCTGGTGACAAGTAACTAGTTGCATTCGTATCAATTGAAGAGAAATAACTTTCATTTCGAGGTGAAGGAAAATTAGGCCCATTTCCATATGCGATGATATTGACAGGGAATGCATCGATTTCACTCACATTAAGCGACTCCAATGATCCAAAACCTAAAATATTTGAACCACGTGTAGAATATGTACCTATTGTAAATACATGTGAATGATCAGCAGTAACAACAAGTAATGTATCATTTAAAAGATCTTTTTCTTTTAAAATTTCTACAGCTTGTCCAATAGCATCATCGAATTCGACAAATTCATCAAGTGCATATCTCGCTTTTGTATCGTGATGTCCATGATCAATTCTGCCACCTTCGATTAGTAGGAAAAAACCATTTTGTTTCATATTTAAAAAATGTTCTATTGCAAATTTGGTCATTTGTGATAAACTTGGTTTATCAGTTCTGTTGACTATTCGATCGGTTTCAAAATACAAATGATTATACTCGAATAGTCCCATTAATGGTGTTGATGTGCCTAAAACAATTTTGTCCATTTGGTTTTTATTCCAAATAAAGCGGCCATGCCAAAATTCATCAATAAGAGATCGATTGTCAGTACGACTACCACTTAATTTTGGGTTCTCAACATCAGCCATTGTGTTGGGATAAAAGTATCGACGTCCGCCACCAAATACAAGATCAATTGGTGGTGAACGTGATACAAGTTGATGAGCAATATCACGACAGCCTTCTCGAGTTTCACGAATACCAAATTTTTTTGAATCATAACCTTCCCAATCACGCTCAGCTGAATGAGCATAAGCAGCAGCTGGTGTTGCATGGGTTATACGAGTCGTCGTTATTATACCGACTTTTTTACCTAGATCAACAAAGAAAAAGGAATTAAATTATGTTTTCATTCAACATAAAAATATTTTACCAGCTTGTTGAGCCCAGTCAAGAATACTTGTCACATTCGTACCAACTGAATGAGAACAGTTTGATCGTTTTGCACGTCCATCAACTCCTAATGTGCCGAATTGGGCTTTAACGCCACATAAATAAGCTGTTGCTGTTGCTGCTGAGTCTGGTATTTGACGATCGATATTATATCTAGATAATATTTTCTACTTTAAAAAATGACACATGTGTTTTTATACTTGAACGTACGTTTTTGCTAAGCCTAAATTAGTAAATTGCTCCATTTCAGTGAGGAAATCTTCACCTAATTGTCCTTTTCTTTGTCCTTTTCGAATTCTACCGGCTGTAACAGTTGACAAACCCATACCATCACCCAAAAATAGAATAACATTTTTAGCTATTCGAGTATTATCACGACGATTCAATGCTTCTTCAATTGATAATTGAGCTTGTTCATACCAGAATGAAGAACTTTTTTCTACTTCCCAATCAATGCGACCACAAGTGACGATATTCTTGATTGCTAACAGAATAATAACATTTGATGCCAGCATATCTGAATAAGAAAAAAAAACTATACAAGTATTGTTAAGATCACCAACTTAATCTTTGCCGCTGTAATAATCATTTAATGCTACAATTCATTTTTCTTCTCTGCATGATTAACATTTGAGAACGTGTTAGCAGTAATGAAGATCTAGTTACAATGATCAAATAGAAGAAATAAAGAAGAAATATTCTTTATTCATTGAACAAGTTCTGAAATAGTAAAGGTGTTACAAATCTCTGTGCGTTTATGAATCAAGAAGGGCACATCATGCTTAATATTAGAGTTTAAATAAGAAAGCATATATCCAAACAACTAGACATGAATTATGAAACGTTTACCTTCACATTACTAATCTTATCTAAAAAACAGAGGTCTTGAATAATTCTTACATTGTTACGGTCCAAATATGAGCAAATTCTTAAAGAAACTGAATATGAATATGAAGTATTTTATTTCTGATTCTTTAGCTTTCGTTTTAACGAGTATTTATCAGTCCATGTTGAAAGTATCTACTGAATAAGTACTCTCATATTCTACATATAATATTTTATTTTAACTATATGACGACTCAATTTCATTTTATACGTTCTTTTGTAAATATGAAAATCGAACTATATACTTAACAATTATTTCTAAAGTGTATTACCGAATGATTTTATTGTATTTATCATTTGAGTGCATATAGCTGTTAGTTGCTAAAATCAGAAAACAACGTTTACATAATTCTACTACTGTTTAATCACATTAGGCTTTAGAAGTTATGAAACTCTCTAAGTTGGCACAGACTAGGCATGTCACAAAACGAATATAGCTTTCGAGTTATTGGGATTATATGGTATTGCTATTAACTAGCTTTGACTAGTATTATTATTGTTATATATTAAATAGTATTAGTAATTTTTTTCAAGTCACAACTTGAAAATGATACTTCTAATTTCTAGAATTGTAGTATCTGTGACCTTCAATCGAATGCACCCTTCTATAGTCAGAGTAGTAGATTGTGATTGAAGTCTTTTGCGGAATCACTGATAATATCTTACATATTTCGCAGAGATAATCAGTAATCACTATAGATACTAACGTTAAATACTTCTTGACCATTTACCTAGATTATAAATTGATAGAATCTAACTAGTAATAGCTACTGGTACTATGCATCCGTTAGAAAGAAAATCATGGATATCACTTCCTAGGCAATGTCCATAGGTTAGAAACATCTCTTTTTCAGTAACCATCAATAAGTCAAGAGCTACTTTTATGTTGTCCTTAACAACATGCAAGTTTCATCTCGAAGATTTAATTTCAAAAAGTTGCAGTTTGATTGGCAACCTTTGAATAATCATTTCTTACTAGTTTACTATTCACATATTTCAGTTTTCAACACAAAAACTCTCGCAATAGTTGTCATGCAGTTTGAACTTACTCACTGAAGACTTGTTCGAGGCCTATTCAATATGAATGTCAGTAGCTATGAAGTAGTATCGATATTGTGGCATAGCTAGCACAGGTAACGCTTTTCAAATGTGACTTATATTTATAAAAAAAAAAGAAGAAGAAGTTGCTAGTAATTAGTTATTTATCTTTTTTCTTATTTTACTTGTACTTTAATTGCAAATGCCAAAGTCATGCAACTTTGCCATTCGATTATATTTCTTACTATCATTATCTATCATTGGACAAAACGTTCTTTTCATTTCACCTTAAACGTTATTTACTATTCATAATTCTGATCTCTTTTCTCTACAGGTAAAGCTTGAATCAAGAACAAAAACTATCGACATGACTACTATTTTGATCAATTCACAGTATTTAAACATTTAATGTATGCATTGCTGAAGAATATAATACTGATGATAGCGTAATTTCTTATACTCATCTGAAAACAAAAAAATTCGTGACCAATAGTTGTTTTTAAAAATGATTTTGTTATATTGTACTAAAGTAAGAAGAACATTTTACTATGATAGAGTTTCTTCGTGGTAATGTCAGAGAAAAAACAATAGAAGTGTTATTTAAAGTTCTGTTTTCTTTAGTAAATGACTTTTGAAATCATCCTGCTCAAAAATTCAATGCATCAGAGAATTCCTGAAAGAACAGAATATTCGCCAACTGAATTGTTTCAGGCTTGATTTCAATTTCCCCTGACTGCTGAAAAAAACGTCATCCTATCCATTTATACATAATTATGTGTGAAAAATATATTCTCTGCTTTTGTGTCGAAATATTATATTTTTACATTAAGTTATTAGTTTTTGAATTTTCCTGTAGATCGATGAACTAATCTGAAATATAATCAAAACAATCTTCGGCTAAGTAAGTATCAAACTAATACAGATGATATAAGTAAATAAAATGATATCATTCAATATCGAACAGCTCTTCTCAAAATATTCAGACTCAAAGATAATAATTCTTTCAGGAACCAAAACATGATACATTTTCTTTATTATAGAAAGACAGAAAAAAACAGATAGTTCCAGCAATGTCCAAAGACTGAAAAATAGGAATTCCTAATGTGCCGAGGAATTGCCAGTGTTGCTGTGATAGTTCCTAGAGAAAATAGGAATCAACTATCGGTTCCCTCACAGTTCCGCCATTCACGAAAGTTACAATATTGCTGTTTTAAAAATAATTTTTGGCATGAAATTATTGATTCTTACAATTCTGCAAGTGAAAATGAGTGTAAGAACAAAATAGGAGGACTGATGAGGAATTCCTAATCCTCAGTCCTTGGACACCCCTCTTATACGTTGCAGTTGAAAAAGAAGGAAACAAAAGAAAAATATAATATATATTTGCTTGAGTACGAGGTAAGTAATAATGATAATGATTTTGTTGTTATAAAATCACCATCATTATTATGAATTAACATGAATTTAGTCTCAGATGATGTTAATTGCTGATGATGACCGTACATATAATTCATTCTCAACATCATTTTGAATTACAACAAGGTCAAAAATTCCTGAATTTTCTAAAATAATATATAAAATTGCCGATTTATTACCAACAAAATCATTATCATTATTAAAAGAAAAATAGTTTTTCTTACAAAACATAGTTGATAAAGAAGCATGATGTCTATTTTCTTGTAGCTAGCTTTTTTAAATTGACAGAAGATTACCAAATGGAGAAAAAAATATCCTAGTGTTTGGTTTATTTTTTACTGTGACAACTATAAAAGATCTTCTTTTTGTTTTACAGACGCGAATATTGCAATTTGTGCTTTAAACTATCATCATGAAAAATTTTAATGATAAAAAAAAGTCATCTTGAATATAATAAACTCAATCTTGTAAGTTCAATCAATATCTTTATTGGAAATTTTTCTTATACCTGTTGTTTTAATACAGTTTTCTGAAAACTTTGATGATGATTTGATTTATGCAATACACCAAGAGCATAATATCAGACGACGAACTTGTACCATATTTATTCCCAAAACTCAATCAAAAACTGATCAGTACGTTTTTCATCGTAGGATAAAACAATTCATTATGAATTTTAGTGTAAGTAGAAGGGATATACATTGCGGTTGTAATCGTCTGCATCGTGAACATTCAGGGAATGTTATCAACGAAGATAACCTTGTATGAAATATAAAAAAAACATGCAAAATCAAGATATAATAATGCGTATGGGTTTATTCCAAATACTCGTACTCGTTATATACGATGTGATGTTGAAACACAGCCAAATATTCTTGCTAAATTCTTGTTTTCTGTACGGAAAGTTAAGTTTCCACGATTGATAATGTGTATTATTGGTGATGCAAAATATTTTAAATTAAACGAACGACTTGAAAGAGAATTTATTAAAGGTATCATTCAAGCTGCATTGAAAGCAGGTAAAAAAAGTTAGAAAGAATTTAAACAAAATTATTTTATCATACTTTGTTTTTCTAAAAAAATGGTTGAATTGTTACTGCAGGATTTAGAACAAGTGTTGTTCAGTTAGTTGGCGAAGCTATTCATGATCACAAAGTAACTAATCCACAAAGCCATATTACGACCATAGGATGTTCAAAATGCGGAACGACTAGAAATCGTGAAGCACTTATTTCAGTAAGGTGCACCAAGGGCAAAACGTAAGCAAAAAAACAACGTCTTTTTGTTTTTCACATCATTTGATAGAGCTCGTCGAGCTGATTCCAAATATCTACTTTTTATCATTTTTTGACCACGTTTTCGATCGAAAATACTGAAAGACGTGTAAAAAGTCGAAAATTGATCATTTCCCAAAATAAGTCAAAATTCATCCCTTTCCACTGCTTTTACGTTTCGGAAACCACTTTTTTCAGACTCAGCAAATCAAACTGAGTATTACCATGCGAGTTCTAGTGATCTAGGATGAGTTTCGACATAGACATCATGAGTCATGAAATGAATGAGGATAAGAAAATGATATGTTGACATCCTTGTTTTGCTAACCTATCTAGTTTTTTATTTTTCAAAACTTTTGGTCAACATTCATACACCATTGAAATCGTCAACCGACAGGGAAAAAAAGTGCGTATGGGTTTAAAATAATTTTCTTCCCTCACTGAGAAAATCGATATTTTCGAAAACAGTGGAAAACGTGAAAAATTGGGCTCCCATCTTGAGATTTTGACCACCAAAACTCAATATTCTTGCAAAATAAATATGATATTCGGAATCAGCATAAAAAGTTGCATCGAGTAACGCATACTTTATCGAAAAATATTTTTCATCAAAATTCCAGCCTACTCCTCCTCAGTCATTTTTTTCTTGATTTTGTCCTGTGGTTCGCCACAGGATTAAATTTTCATCAAAATTATTTTTTGATAAAATATGTGATAGTCAATGTAGTTTTTCGTGTTGATTGTGAATCTGATGTTTATTTTGCATGAAAGTTGAGTTTTGATACTCAAAATCTCGAAATAAGGGAGTAATTCGTTAAGCTTCAGCCACCGATCTAGTAAAAATCGATTTTCTCAGAGAGGCAATAACATTTTTCAAACTGAACATATAATTTTGTTCGTTATCACTCGACGGTTAGAATGACATTAGAAAGTTCGATATATGCTCTCAAAAAAAAACACTTGATGATTTTGCGAGACATCAATTTGAACGTGTCTATATGGGGATCTAATGGAGTTCCTCAAACATGAAACGTTTGCTTTTTGCTGGTCAAAGTTACATCAGTAGATTCAGATTTTCATGTTGAATTCGATGATGATAGTTTTTGAAACTTAGAAGATTGTTAAACTAGGTAAATTTCGAGTTTTCAGGTGCAATTTGTATTTTGAAAATTTCTCAGTCAAAACGAAAGTTTAGCTATATTTTAAAGGTAATATGCATGATCTACTCATCGAGCTCTATCCAACCATGTAATAATAAATAGGATTTTTCTCCTGCTCGAGTTCTGACTTGGGTGCACCTTACATAAATTTCAGGAAATTAACTTTTCTATTGAATAATCGATAAGAAAAACTACCATGCTAACAAATCAGCAAGATTAATTTTAAAAAAATACTAAAAAATTTTAAACGAGAAAATAATCTGAGCCAAAGAAAATACTATTTGCAGAAATTCAATCTTAAGTTGATAACAATATGAGTGAACTGATCCATTTTGCCCAAACAACTATTAACATTCTTCTTCTGATTAATAAGAAATAGCAATAACAGACGAGAATATTGTGTTCATTAAGTTAATCATTTTAAATGATAATAAACTGCATCAGCAACGCTTCAAAGCTTTTAAGCAGAATGAATAGTTCGCATACATCAGATAACAATGTAATTATAAGCAGAACGAAAAAGATGAACAGTGCAAAGGTAATTTTTGAGATCTGAAAAGGCTTGTATAGAAATTTTTTGAAAAGTGAGAAAAATCGCTAAAACTTGTGTTTGTCATGTCAAAATTATAACACTAAGAAGCTCAAAACAATTTAAGAAATCAACTAGTCTGCGTGAGACTACACGGACTAATAATTCTTACGGGTTATATAGCACAAAAGCAAAGTTCCATTCTACGTAGATACCATTGATTGTCATAACTCTGAAATCTTTTTCATAAAATATTCATTGTACATCATCAATTTCTCAATATGAAGTTATCAAGAAGTTGACAGAAGTAATCAAATGATGGTTAATGAAAAAGAAGACGAGAAAAGGAATTGAAATCAAGGCAATTTAAACGGTAAATCTTCTTCAGTGAATTGATAGACTATATCTGTTTTCTTCCAAGTTGAAATGATTATTTCAAATTGGAAGTGAAAAGTTTTAGTTTCGTCTTTATTGATAATCAAATAGAAAATTTAGCTTTCTAATATCATTTTTTATTCATTGCTTGAATTGAATTACGCGTTATTCACATATTCAAGTTCTCCAACAAATATCAGATGATGTTTAATGGATCACTTATTGTGTTTTTGCTTAAGAAAAACTTTGATTTTATTTCTTTATCGCAACAATTTACTCAGAGAAGATATGATCAGACTGAATTTTAGGGTTTTTTCTTTAATTTTGATTTTCTATCACGCTGATAGATGAATGAAAAATAAACCTTTAAAAAGTTTCGAATCTATTGAATATCTACTATGCGAGATAAACTGAAATGATTTTTAGCTTTGAACATTTTTTAATATAATAACAGTTCATAAAGTTACGAAAAAAAATCGAAGTTACTCTTAAATCTAACGATGCGAGCTTCTCAACAATGGATTATTTTTGATTCTTAAGATGTTGTTATTTCACGACATTGTTCACATGACAAATGAAGTTATTTTATTCATATACCATCCTTAAACACTATTAAAGAAAACTAATTTCGGAATTAAAGTTTGCAAATTTGTCTAGAAATAAACCTGAATTACAATAGATAACGATAAAAATTTTAGATTTTTCCAACACTCCTATATTTCAGTGAGAATGCTGAGCTCTCCTAGTCTGCATGTATAACTAGTACCAAGCGTATGTCTTTTCAGGATCACATTTCAAAATAAAAACAAAACCATAGATCTGTGACTTTCACAGTAAATTAAGATCCTGACTTATTGAGATGTATACTTAGAAATCAATAGGACTAACATAGTGTCTACAATTTCTATGATAATTCAGTTAAACACTTCTAAAAGCCGATCATAGGATGAAAATATGAAATAGAATAGAAAAAAACTATTAGTCTGTTTTTAAATATATATATATATATCGATCATTTAAGCGAATATCATAGAATATTGATTGTTTCTCTCTTTTCTCATCGGTATGTGAACTTGTATTAAACAAAATGCTTTTCTTATGTAAATGAAATTTTATCCAAATAATTTTGATACCGCTTAGATGATACTGGTATTAATTATTCGGATATTTATATGTGGCGATCTGATAAATGTTCAAAATCATATTTAACCTATTTTCATCATGTAAAAAACCTTTCATGAATCACCAATTGTTAAATATTCATATAATTCTTTTGGTAATATTATTTTTCGTCTACTATTTTCTTATTATCTTCTATTCAATTTTCGAACTACAAATGATGGCAGTTTAAGTATACACTGGACTGAAGTATTCATCATCATTACAGTCACAACAATGCTCATTGAAGATATTCGACAAGTAATTTAGATAGATATACAGATTTTAATTGAAAATAGTGATTGATAAAAGTAAAATTTTAGTTTTTTTATCAAGATAATCGATTTATAATTGGAAAATTGATAAACTATTTTTATTAGACATTAACTTTTTTTATTTAATTTCGTTCGACACCTTATCTTCTTTTCTATGTTGGTCTTATTCTTCGTTTTACAAACAGCAATAGTGAAGAAGCATTTTCAGCAGCTAAAATTGTTCTTGTTCATGATCTTGAAATTTGGTTTATTCGTTCATTAGGCGTTCTGGATATTACTAAAAACGATGGGACCAAAACTGGTTATGATCCATAAAATGGTAGGAATTAACGTTTACTTTTACTGTTTCTTTTTATTATTCTTCGAATACTTCTAGACTATTGATTTATTGTTTTTTACATATATTATTTTAATTGTAATGATTGCATATGGCGTTGCTTCGAGAACTATGAATAGTTATGCTACTATTGATCCATTAACATTTGATGGCCGATCAGTTTTTCGAAACATTATTTGTCCAACATATTATCTGTTGGATGGGAATATAGATAGTGAATTACAGAAGCTTGATGGTAAAAAGAGAAATAATTATTGATCGATATTGAATCATCTTTCATATTCTTTTTTTTATAGCAAATTCAGGTAATAACACGACTATTGCTACTCATATATTATTAGCTTTTCACATGTTATTTGTTAATATACTGCTTATTAATCTTATTATTGTAATGTTTAGGTAAGATAGATAGAAGATAACATGTTCTATCCGAATAGTTTAGGTTTACATTTGAATCTGTTCAAACACAAACGGATCTTGTTTGGCGTTATGAACGATATTCATTAATCCGTGAGTATTTTGATCGGTCACCTCTGCTCTCTCCATTGATTAGTATGACACATATGATTGAACTTATTAGATTAAGATTTCGACATTTATTAGAAAATACGAAAATAAAACGAAACAAAAATATTTAGTAAGTATTATTTTTTAGAAAACGAAGGTAATTTACATCGGTTTTTTAAATTTCATCAGAAATAATTGGAGCAAATCGAGAAGTTGATAAAGATTGGTCAGCATTTGAAAGCTATGCTACAAATCATTATGCGCGATCATTAGTTACTAATCAATCATTATCAACATCGGCTCTTGAATCATCAAAACTACGGCAAGAGATACAATCACATTTGGAAACAACAAATCAATCGAGTATCAGTCATTCAGATATAAACACAATCACAGAGGAAATGACTTCTGTAAGAAAAGCTGTACTAGATCTACGTAATTATTCTGAAGAAGTAAAGCTAAATAGCAAGATTGTTTGTTAAGTTATTAAATTTTCTTTTTCGTTCAAAGATGAACAGGTGCATGCAATGGAACGTGTTAAAATGACTAAAGAATCAAAGCCAAGATTAAAATCAACAATAACTACAGATGGTTAGATATCTTATAAAATTCTATTCCATTGTTTATTTATTTCGATTCTTTCAGATACTCATGTTATTGATGGTCAACCATTCTTGTGATACATGTCCATTAATATATTCTTTACTTTTGCATTTGTTGTGAATTATTAATGAGAATATTTTATTTTATCATTCAATAGACTTTACTTCTTTATAAACATACTGTCTAATTGAAGTTTCTAAAATCTTAGAAATTCGGATTGAATTTTTATCAGAATTGAGAGAAACAGATGAATTTGACGTCTTCAAGTATCAGTAACAAAACAAAACTAGATCAGGTCCAAGTTATCTATTCCTGCCATGAAAGCATAGTCAAATAAAAATATTTATTGATTTATGTATTCAAATGAAAGACTATCATTACTTTACTGAGTTATCAATGTATCTATCACATACGATGGGTGGAAGAAGTACACTCACTGCGTATAATCAATCAAGAGAAATACATATCATTCATAGTAGTTATGTCATAGTCATCTCAGAAATTGTATAACTATGATTAAAGATATGCAATACGTAGAGTTTATGAGGTAGCCTTTTGCAAAACAAAGTGTTCAAAGCGTCTAAAACTAGCTGAAGCTTATTATCTTTTATACTATGTGAGAACAAATGTGTACTGAATTACAAGTTACGAATCAGAATTCTTGAACAATATAGAGTACATGTACGTAGATATTTTAATTAGTTACGCGGCGAACCGTGAACACATGGAGAGTTTTGCTACTAATTTAAGAAAATCAGAGTACCGGAATAGAGCATATTATTGGCTTTGTCAAAATCATTTTGATACAAAGGAAGCACTTCTGAGTAAGCTGAAACAGTCATCTAAAAATTAACTAAATATTTGAACTCTATGTCGCTGTGCTTATACCATAAAAGATTAAATAATCATTAGAAGCGAATAGTTTTAAAGTATTACAAAATGAAATTTATATAGTTATGAAAATAAATATGATATTTGAATTTAAAAGCAATGATTTGGTCAGCAATTTTGAACTTTTAAGAGTTGCGACTCGTGAAAACTCAACTTAGAATTGCAGAAGTCATTATCAATTTATCAGCTATTTACTAATGTTTCTTGTCATTATTTCTTCCATTAGCCGACAATGAATTTGCTGAATCTATATTCGGTGTGTTTTCCGCACGTTTTTCTTGTCTTGATTTAATCTTTGATTCTGCTTGAGGAAAAGGTTCCGGCTCTACCATCTGATACAACTGAGTGTCATGAATTTTGTTTCCCATAGTACCTTGACTATTGAAACTAACAGATTTGAGTTGATAAGAATTTGTAGGATTTTGATATACACATTGCTGAGAAGTTATGACTGCTGATGATGAATCTGTTGCATGTTTCGTAGAAGATCGTGAAATAGGAGGTGGAGCAAGTGATGAATGACGATCTTCTACTAGTGCTGCCGAGTCATTATCTTTATGCGTATTGGAATAATGTGACGAAGGAGTATTGCGGATTCCAGCTCGATTTAAATGCGGTATATTAAGTGATGACTCGACTTGCTTTTCAGAAGAGCGCCGTCCGAGAAGTAATTTTGAGCTCTTCACTTCATGAACATGTGATCTTTGATTCGAATTGATCCAGTTTGGTGAAATATATTCAACTCTAGATGGTATCGATTGAGTACCGCATAGTGGCAATTTACATTGACTATGATCTTTCTGTGCTTTCTGAACACACTGGGCCGAATCAGTTGACTGAAAGCATTTTTCAATGGATGAAGAATCTATAGTTAAATCAAATTTCTCAAGGGGCGTTTCAATAATCGCTTCATTAGGCTGATGTTCAAAAGTTGAATGTTCGTTCATGGTTTGTTGTTCCAATGTCTCTTTATGCATGGTCGATGTTGATGCCACGATTGGGTTCTTCGTACGTGCATTTGGAGCATTTCTAAGACGTTCTCTTGGATTTATATATGACTCTAAATTTATTGGTTCTTCAGATCCAGCAGCTTTATTAGTCACTGTTGCGTTATTTGGTAAGTTTAAGTTTAGGTCTGGCTCATTGATAACTATGTTAACGTTCTCTTCATGCGCATGAGGTTTCGATGGCAAGAGTGACTTATTCGAGATTATAGATTCTGATGGCTTCCACATCTGTCCTTCATAAGCAATCCACTTGCTCAAATTTATCATAAACTTCTTAGCATAAACATGTTTACGCCAGTTTTTAGGTAGTCCTTTGTAACCGTAGTAAGCACCAGCTAATTGTCCATAAATGGCAGCCGTAGTATCAGTATCATCGCCAAGATTCACAGCAGCAAGAGCACCTTGCTCAAACGAATTATCATCAGACCAGAATGCCCATAAAGCTGCTTCGAGAGCATCAACAATATATCCTTTACCTCGAATTCCTTCCGCATATCCACCTTTTTTCTGATAAGAACCCTCGGCAATACGTTCAATCTCATTACAAAGTGGTGTTCCACTAAACCATTGTAAATGTTTAGAATAAAAATCTTTATCAAGAATTTTTTCTTTCGTGTAGCCAGTAAGAGCAGCAACAATCAGAGCACCATAGTAACGACATGCATCATAAGCTTTTATGTCACCGTGAGTAATCTGCCCACTAATACCAGAATATTCTACAGCATACTCGGGATATTTATAGAAAAATATGGGTACTGGTGCAAGACGCATAAGAGCTCCATTACCAGCAACATGCTCTTTACTGCAATAGACGTCAAATGTTTTGACCAGACTTTCATCGGAAAGGTAGTCCATTTCTTTTTGTGGAATGTTGTGCTTCTTAGCAAAAGCAATTTGACGAATCTCGAATACATTCAGGGATTCACTCGTAGCCCTTCCAATATCAAAGCATCGTCCAGTTGAAGACATGTATCCTTCTTTGTACCACCACTTATATCGAACCAATTGATCATATGGATTAAATTTCTTTTGAGTTACCAGTGAATTAGCCAAACAAAGTGCCATGGAAGTATCATCGGTGAACTAGAACGGTCATATGAACTACAATGTATCTGATAAAAAAAAGCAGATCATCGAAGAGTCTTTAGATTCTATTCTAATCGCTCCAAAATTCATAATTGAAATCTTACAAAAATCTAGAGAAAAACTATTTGTTCTCATGTTCAACACACTTTTCAATTTTTCTCAATAAATATCTAAGTATATTGTGAATTCCTTGAATTAGTTTTGCTTCCATATTGTGATGCTATTAAAACATATATGCATATAGTATAGATCCTAACAGATATTTTCATTGTTATCAATTATGATAATAAGAGTAGATACAATTGGATTTAAGTTTTAACTGTCTAAAATGTAAAACTTCATCATATGTATGTGAGCGTGTTGTTAAATTCGTATATATGTATTTTGTATAAATAGAAGTGAATTGTCATGATTAATGATAATTTTATAGAATGCAAATAAATGGCAAACTATTTCATTATTATTCTGCTATTCATTAAAATGCATACTCACTTTTGCATAAAAGAATGCCAAATAAATATTTCTTTTGAAGGTGTCTTCATGAAAATAAACTAGACGCGGACTATATCAATCTTTTTTTCAATATCAAATCAAACATTTGATTATATCATCCGTACATGTTAGAAAACAAAGGTTTCGTCTTATCGACGATAAGTGTAAATTGAAATAATCTTCTATTAAACGTAACTATCTAAAATACGTGGAGTAAAGAAAAATTAGATCTATTCTGAAACACAAGTTTACTTTGAGAAAACGTTTTCTCTACTAAAATCTGATTTTTACAGTATTACTATAATGCGGTTCAGTTTAGTATATTGACTATGTTCCATGAAAACGTTCACAAACGAATTTTATAAACTAAGTAAAAAAATCAATAGGCTAATTTTCTGTTTTGTACTACGTGCAAATCGATAGAATTCGTTGATAAAATACAGTATTACCTTACATTTGGTTAGTTCATGAAGTTTTCTTTTTCGAAATATCAGTAATCTAGAGAAAATTAGATTTAGCCTTTTGCTATTTTTTATTTTAGGGAGTGCATCTGCCAATTCTTCGCTGATGCCAGATGTCTTAGCCTTCATAGTTATGTACAATTTAGAAGAGAGCTATAGTCATTATTACGCTTGTGCCTGTGATAAAACTCTTTGAAAGATGATGTTACTAATATTACTTTGAACTTTTTTCTAAAACATAGCGAGGCAAAAAAAACACAATACCTGCCCTTTACTAAGACCCCACGTTCCTCCTCCTTGAAGATCAGTGACAGGGTTTTCAACTAAAAATCGATGAGGTCGAAACTCCACGTGGGCACCAAGAGCGTCACCTAATGCCATTCCTATCATTGATCCTGCGATTCGGCTTAATGTCTTTTCATCGATTTGATAGGATAGTTCTACCATATCATTTTCCAAATCTTGGGGTGTTTTGATTGATGTTTCATCAGCACCACGATATTGAAGATTGAGCCAAGGCTTATCTAAACAATAATAATCGATATTGATAAAAACAAATCTTGTGTTTTCCGTTTATAAGATCCTATTTGTTTTTAATCTTCATCTTTGTCATCTATCAGTTTTTTAAATTATTATATCAACTGATAGTAGTACAAATATCTGACTAGAGATTAATATGTCTTCGTCTTTCACCTGCTTCTGATTGATTAGATGGAGAACGTTGCTGTTTCGGTGGTTCTAAAATGATGCAATGAAAAATATTGATGATTGTAAACATATGCATTTATTATCAAAAAAATAAGTCCAAAAGAAAAACACCTTAAAATTGTATCGATGGTTAGATTTGCTATTTATATCATATGTTTTGCATTTTTGTTGATGTTCTCAAAATTTTGTAAGAAAATTGTGCACGATTTAGTTGTAAATTTATTAAAATCGTTAACGCAAAACAAGTCTTTTGCGTTTTACAATTCCAATAATTTTACTAGATGATAAATCAAATACCTGTTTCTGATTCAGCACTAAGCATCATATCAGACATTGATATTCAAATTTTTTGTAATTTTTTCTTCTATCGTGGATAAGATAATTGAATCGAAATAAGTAATGCTCCAATACTTTTTCATCATAAATACTTTTCTTATGTGTAGCGCTGACTAATGAAGCATTACACAGGAAACGAGAAAAATACTCAAAAATATTTAGTATAGTAGTATGCATTTGTTATCGATGAAAAGAGAATAACAAAATAGAAACTTACTTCTGATAACCATTTCTTGAAGTTGGGAGATGCCGGATCTGAAACTCTTTATGATTCTGAACATTCTATTAAATCAATAAATTGTTTTTCTTGTTTGATGTCTTTGTACAGCAAATTGCTAAAAAGTAAAAAAGTTTATTTTTCACTTTTGCTTCATCCCACTATATGAGCCGAACAGGTTACCTATTCATTTTTCTTTCTATACGTGTATTTCTCACGGCGAAAGCAAAGAACAAGTAATAAACGAAATATAATGTGGTGTATGACATCATAGGATGCTTTTTTTGAAATAAAATAAGAAGGTAAGAAATGCTTATCACTTATTCGTTAAAAATAGCTAGATAAATTTGGACAGTAAAACTTGAAAAATCGTGAGAAAATCATACAGACTTATTTAGATAGAGTTTGATTACGATTCAAATGAGGTAAAGCAACAGGAAATTATTTTCCTGTAAAACATTATGTTCGAGTAGTTCATTTATTTTGTTAACACAAATTAGAAAGAAAATTTTTCTGAAATTTGGTTCACTAATTTAAAAAAAAAATAAATACAAGAAATGTGTAATATATATCTACTGTATTATCTGTTAGCGTCAGTAGATGGTACTCACTGACGCTAAACGTTTATTCGTGTTATCTGTTGTTATGATCTCTATTTTGATTTGTTACGTAATATTTTCGACTATGACTAATCCTCGTGATTGATTTTCGTTCGCTATTGCGCAGTTGTTGATGTTCTATCGTATCGAATACTCGATACTTAATATATTCTATATATGATNTATCATACAAACCATCTTAGCAACCAGTGTTTCCAATGGCAAGTGTACACAGCAGAAGCAAAATGTACAGAACATCTGCTAGTTTTGATTTACACTCTGCTACACACTTGCCCAGAAAAACAAGGTGTACAATGTACACTTTGCTAAAATAGTTTACACTCTGATTTCTTTGATCTCTGAACCTTAGAAGCCGCATATAGTTTTAAATCAATTAAGTATGATATGTTTTTGTTTGCTAGTGATCAAAATATTTGCTTCATAAGATTAAAAAATGGCGAACATTATGTTTCCCATGTAAACACGAAACGCAACATCGATGCGTTGAAACGCGGTTTCTCAAAATTACGCGTTCAAACTTGGTTAAAAATGGTTTTATGACGCATCCCAACACGTTTACAATATGAAACGCGTTGAGTCGCACTCAGAAAAATTTCGAAACGCTTTTGAACGTAATTTTTGGACACAACGCGTTTAAACGCATTTTGCAAAAAATATGGACCGCATCTCACCGCGTTTCATATTGAAGTCGCGTTAATACGCAGTTAATAAAGTTCGGCTGAACGCGTTCAGACACGGTGCAATATAAAACGCGTTTGAGCGCGTCTGCGAGAAATATGAAGCGCATGTGAACGCGCTGTTGTGAAAAATCGCGTTGACATGCGACTAGATAGCATCAGATTCTGCACGATGTGCAATACAAGCGAACTAGATCAAGTTAAATTGTTCAAGAAAATCTGTTTTTAGAGCTCCTGAAAGCTATAGACGTTTCTATCATTTTACTTTTATCTAAATTTAAGAAAAGAATACATGATAAATATTAAAATCAGCAATATTCATAGCGTGCATACACCTACAAATAGGTATCATTAATTATTTCCGATACTTGCCTACAAATATATCATAAAAATTTCTCTTTCTTTACTATGTAGTCATTTTTACTGTATGTGTCATACTTATTTTTGACCATCGTATTGTTCTTCCATATATTATACTAGAGAATATTTTCTTCAATACCGCAAACTATAAAAACCTAGATAACTTTCAAGATTAAAGGTTGAATAGTTGTAAACGCCACCGAAATTTACAACGGATTCAGGCAAATGCGTGATTGTATGAATTGATATGACATTTTGACGATCACCATATAATAAAGGAAATTGATAAATAAATTCATTTGCTAAACGTTTGATATTTAAGGTTTGATCAGAAGAAGTAGATTTCGATTCGCATAGATGGGCTAATACAACAAGTAACAGTAAATGGCGACAGTACTTGTGTGGTAAATACATAGAAAACGATGCGAATCCAAAAAGCAAAGTGCATCTTAATTCACTAGCTTTAAAATCATTATATTTGAGAAGTGTTCGCGGTGTTCGACAAATTGTCGATAGAAATTTGTGAATAGATAAAGACACATCTATTAAACCAATTTTTGATATTAAACACCATGGTTGATTACGATATTGCGTGTCAAACCAAAGTTCAAGTAATCTCATCTAAATACAAACATATAATTTAACTTTTATTCTAAAATCCAAAACAATTATCAAAGTAAACTATAATCCTTAAACTCAATGTTATTTTAAAGATTAATTGTCTTTGATCATAAGGTAACTGTATTAAACTATTTTTTAGATTGTCTAATTCTGCAACCAAATGATTGTTTTTAATAGCAATATTTTATAATTTTTTTACGAACTATAGACTTAGATTTCTTATTTTCTTCTAGAGGAAAAGTACATTGATTGAAGCAAGCAAAATAAGAAATATCTTTAGACAAAAGCACAAGTTAGGCGACATATGTACTTCTAACATTCTCTAAACATAAAGGTTGCACTTTACAAATCAGTATTTCTGAATAACAAGTAGCATTCTTAACTTTAACGACCCATTATAATGTATTAGCGCATGTATCTAAGCTATTCCATTCCCCATTCCAATAGACAAGTACATTGAAGAGTAAGAAGGGTATTTGTACGATTATATTGTTACTAAAAAAAGCGATTATCTTAATTTATTAGGAGTAGAATGCTCGAAAATATACTTACAAAAGTACCTCTATAGAGGTTGTGTAATGTGTCAAATGCAAATGATTGACCGATATCGAAATAGCGTAAACTTCGAAGATGACATTCACCAAGATGGCCATACATAAAATCTCTAAGAGCTTCTTTTCCTGTTGGTCGAAATCGTTCAGGTATGGCCAATTTCACATCGTATGCAAAATTAGTTCGAGCTTTTGGCATTTCATCATTTCTTCGTATTGGAAAAACGCGAATTTTCGATTTGGAGCCAGATTTGGTGGGCACTGTAATGCCTAAGAACAAAAAAGAGATTAAATCGTGTTAAATTAAACATATTATAATGACAAAACAAATATCCAATTCTCCTGACTAATGTCATTAAAAGTAGCTTTATTCAACAGAAAAATGTTTATAGTAGTATTCCTCTTTGATTCTTAATGGTCATTCTGTAAAATTTGTTCCCAAATCTGTTGTTGATATAGATAACATCCTATTATCAAAAATTAGCCATTTTATTTTTCATCTTCTGTGTTACATAATTATGGGTCGCAATATTTTATAATTTTCTCCTTATCTTTTTTACTCTTCTAGGATGATAATAAACCAAAAGTTAATTATACCCTGGAGAAAACATTTTCCACAGCCATAAGCACCATTTGGCTCACTAATGTTCTGGACCAGAGCTTGAGCTGGCTTGTCCATAGAACCTGCTATAAGAAAAACTCGAAGAAATTCAATATTGCCATCGTAATTTTGAAAACAATGTTCATTTTCTAAAGTTAATAATTCATTAACGACCGACTGTAAATAAACGCTCATTTCTTTTCGAGTTGGTTTTGATTGACCTGATGCAATACCACCAACTAATACGTTTTGTATTCGAAATCTTTCAGATTTTTTTAATTCATTAATGACAAAAGTTATCACCCATAATGAAGACTTCGAGCTTTTGGCAATCAATATTCCATCAACATTCATTGTTAATGTTATAAAATTGTTTTCTTCATTTTTGAGAAGTTTTTTTATAAAAATCACCTTGAGAAATATCAGATGAATCAATAAATGTTGAGCAACGTTGTCGTTGCAAATTGAGTGATGGAAAACGTAATAATACATCTTTTATTTGAGGTTGTAAAGGCATGCGAAGAAATACAGGTGGACGTTTACTAAAAGATTTATTTTCTTCACATTTTATGTTCGAACAGTTTGTTGCTTTGGAAGATAATTGATTACATTTTGAACAATAATAAGAAGATGATGTAAAATGAGCTGTTGAACTTGATAAAAAGATACGCTTTACATGTGCAGAACCTTTTGGTACATTTGAAGCTTTTAAAAGACGCATTAGTTGACATATATGATCTAAGCAACGATTCGATAGATTATGTCGATTTTTCAATATAGTTAAAGCAGCAGCAACTTCATGAGTTGATGGATCAGCAGATCTTAATAATAAAAATTACATAAATAAAAAAAGCAACTAGAAATTAAAATCTATATACGATATAAATCAATTATTATTGCAATTGAAGATCTCTACTCACACAAACAAATAATATATTGGCTCTCCGTCTCTCTTTAATATATACATATATAATGCATCTCACAGAAATTGAAATTATAAGATTTGTTTTTTTTGTGAAATTTTATGTTGCGAATGAGTTAAACGATTATTATGCACACGTATAGATAGGGTATACTATGTTGTGTATGCAGTATAAATATAATCAAAGGTAACGAAAGTTAGAAAAAGAAAACAAATAATCAATCGAAGGTAAACTCTTTTTATGCTTACAAAAATTACCATGGACTTTATATGTCTATATCTCCGTAATGGTTATACACGAATGCCAATTAATGTCACCTTTGTGTACATCGTCTCCAGCATATAAAATTCACAATAAAGATAATAAGTATTGATATCAACTTTTGATGCCTTATGAAATGAATATTTCATGTCTTAGTTATAGGTGCACACTCAAGAAATCTAACTTTTATTGCATGTTGAAATATATTATCAAGTAGATTGATACGTTTATCAATAGCAGTAAGAAAGATAACAAAATGTTGAACAATATCTTATCCACCATTAATAATCGGTTGTTTAACTTCGTCTTTTCTTCATGTTCAACATTTAATTATACTTACTACTATGTTATCCATCATTTCATTATTGACATCAATCTCTAACTAACATACTTTCGTCTTTTATTTCGTATTTTTAACTAATGATTTAAAAAGAAACCTGCGCTGATTTGATTGATATTCCTCTAATGTACGTTCTTTGCAAGATGATGCATATGTATTTTTTTGTATGCATATTAAGGTGTTGTATATGATAATAGAAAACGTGGATGCAATATATGTGATACTAAAAAGCTTACAGATGGAGTTTTCTTTTGTGATAGAATCGTACATTTATTTGAATTTAACTCAAGTACATCTATGAGTCGTCTACACATACCCGATCTACTAGTATGTATCCTATACACTACACATTTATATATTCAGTATTAAGTTATTGTTTGTACATAGAATAAAAATTTTAAAAAAATCAAAGGGTATAATTTCAATTTTCGTGAATTCTATATAAAGTATTATTGTTAAAAGATATGCATCATGCTTGTCAAAGGTATCAAGAAGAAATATTTTTGCTCGTATTGATATTACTCATAGTTTCTCATACTTGAAGTTGCTCTTATTGAAATCTCGAGCAATTTTTTATTTTGAGATCTTTTAAAATCTTAAATTAAAAAGTAAGTATTTACAAATTAAAAAAGTTCATATCTTCTACTTGATCTTCTATAATTTCATCTGGCTGTATCTCTTCAAGTACATATGGTTGACCATCTTCAGTTGATTGTATTTGATCATCAATGTAGGTTGAAAAAGAATTCGACTGTTTATCAAAATTATTTCTGTTGTTTGCATTATTCTCTACTTGAGCTTCTCGTAAAACGTAAACATCATGCTGTGAAAAATAACTTGAACTATAATTATTATTGAATGCGCAAGTTTAGAAAAAAGTTTGATTGAGGACGATTAATAACATACTCGTTTTCAATCAAATTTACTGGTACAGCATCATTCAATGCATTATCACAAAGAAAATGTCTTACACGTTGCCGACGACGCCATTGGGTAGTCCTTGAAGTCATATCTAGAATAGCATAACATAAAAATCAATTTGTTTTCTTTTTTTTTCTCTTAATGCAATGCCTATTTTTTAAAACACAACCCTAATAAAACATTATCCTAATAAAACATAATTCTAATAAAACGTAATCCTATTAAAACATAATTTTAATAAAAAAAACGATTAAATTTATTTCTATCATTAAAAATGCTCATCCGAGTCTGATGTTGTAACAACAGCCACTTCTTTATCTTTTTCTTGAATATTCAATGTTGATTTCTTCGTGTAAAAGGCATCAATTGATTGTTGTCGATTACTATTTTGATTCTTTTCAACAGGTTTTTGAATAGCTTTTGCAGCAGGTGCTTGTGCCTTTCGCATTTTGAGTTTTTCTTGGCGAAATACTCCATCAATTGCTTCATTAAATTGATGATCTGGAATAGGGCCATGTTGTAACTCGACAAAATCTAAAAACGAGGAAAAAATACTATGTCGAATACGGATTATCTTATGGTTTTATACTAAATAATTGTTCTATCAAATAGTACTCACCACGTATCGCTTGTCGTTTTTCTTCTGAAACACCCTCTTTACCAGACTTTGTTAATAGTGTTTCTTGCGAACATATAAGACGAACTATTTCTCTGGCTGTATGCGTTCCACGATTTTGAATACAATTCAGAAGTTTCTTTGGATTACTAATACCAATATGACGTGCATGTGTAGCAATATCATTTGCAGATAGTTGTTGCGTGAATAACTTAGCCAAACGTACGATCCAAGATCGGCTGTTAATATCGGGCATAGCTAAAAGGAAATAGATAAAAGTAATAAATACTCTCTTGCAATGAAATATAAAAAGGAAATAACATTTATTTAATATAATAGGAACAAAATTATAAGTTTCAGTAATGACAAGATAATTAATTACAAGAAATATCGACAGTTTATTAAAGATGAACACTATGATACGATGGAATTAAAGTTAATACCGAGCAAGTAGTCTACTGATAAGCTAATGTAATACGCTTCTATGTGGTTACAGTCAGTGAAAAATTATAAACTTTCAATTTTAGAATAAGATTATATTGATTGATTCGAAAGTTTTGTTTATTTCTTAAATGACTATGTCATGAATAATTCAGGAATACTCTAATCTGGCAATATGTGTGATTCTGCGTAGTATAGTACTGAATTTTGTATTTAAATTACAATAGCTTATGTACTTAGCAAACTATTACAGAAGAATAAACATAGTTATTAATACAAAAACATAATGTCATCATTACTTACGAATGTAATTTTTTTTCATAAAATTAACTTGGTTTTCTAATGATGTTTTTTGTTGTCGTAAATTAATATTTTCTTTTTGCAATCTCTTAAATTCTTTGAATGAGAACGAACCTCGTTCGTCCATTGTATCATCATTAGTTTCATCTTTGTTCTGTTCAGTTGAATCTAAACAAAAGATATTTTCGAAAATGTAAAAAATAGAAGTATTTCTTATACTATCTTGATTGTTATCGGCATGATTCACGGCAACCGGGTTTTGTATTGGACTTGATGGAATAATTGAAGGTGATTTTTTATTCGACGTTGTTCTTTTATAATTAATATTTGATATTTGTTTTAAAGATGAATCTTCAGTTAAACACTTTTTTGATTTTTTTGTTGTTGTTGTTGCTGTTGCTGTTGTTAAATGTTCTTCTATTTCATCACTGCCTTCTTCTAAAAAAGAATGTTAAAATAATGTAAGTATTGTCTAGAAAAAAGTTCCAATTTTCATTCATTTATATCATTAACAACACAAATAATTCAATAATTTTAAAAAAGAAGCAAATTCTTCGAGAAGTTTGAAATTCTTTTTTGTTATCTTTTCTTCCTGCAAGTACGATAGACTCAAGGAAATAAGATCTTTTCAACAGATTTAAATAAAGTTATCGAAAGATTTTATTAAATTTTATTCTACTGATTTATCTGTCAACTTTATTTTACCTTCAAATGAATAACAATGTTTTGAATTCATATTCGTATCATCACCAAATAATTTTCGTTGAACTTCAGATACTGATTTTTCCTTACGTTTTGGTAAAATAGCTATAGTACTAGCTGTATTAATATTCATTGGTGGCAATGCATTAACTCGATTATAATTTTCTAAAAGAAAAACAAAATTATTTATACATATAAGATTCAATCAATATCTTCAATTTCAATTTACTATCTGAGTGAAAGCGGTGTTATTACAAGAGCTACTAATCTCCTTTCAATATGTGAATTAGTTTGTTTTATTTATAGTTTTAATATAAATAGTATGAATCAAGCAATTTACCGTTTATTTGAGAATGATGCTTTGGTTTTGATAATTCGTTTAGAGCACATCTCTCTTTACTCTTGTTTTGCAATTGATGATCTAACGAAAAAAATTAGTAATTCAATTCAACACATATATTTACTCACTGGAACGATCGTTACTACTTTTGTTAGAAGTTGTAGACGATGAACCTTTTTTACCTATAAGTGGTAAATAAAAATCATGTTTCAATTGTAAAAGCATAGGAAACTAAAAAGCTTCTAAATATTATTCACATAAAGACTGTAGAAAGATTATACCCGGTTCCACCCGCTAATGTTAATAAACCAGTATTTCTTTTTACCAGGACTAGTTATTAATTTCTACTTTCAAAAACGACTACCTAACACCATCTTAAATCTTAAGATTTCTATTTGATTGTCGACTACACAATTATAGTTTTTCCTCATTTGTTATGAACCTATTAATCGAAGCTATTATTGAAGTTATACTGTACGTATTATCTTTATCATACATAGACATACACGTATACCAAGATTGTTATGTATATGTAAACATAATTTTACAGCTTTTCGGAAAAACCAAATGAGCTTCTAAGAGATCTAGTCAAAAATATTAACAACTACTATTTTGAAATATTTACTTGATGTTTCTATTGGATTAGAATCTATAAAATTCAACAAGCACTTTAGATTTCCTTGTTGAAAAAAGACTCACCGTGTTGCTTTTCTGGTGGTTGATTTTCATTAATAACATCTTCTTGCAAAACTTGAAGCTGATCAACACACAATTCTTCTGTTCCTACAATTGAATAATCAAAAATGAGGTATTAAAACTGTGCCTAATCACATATTTACCAAAAAGCAAAACTTTTCCTCGTTCTGTTTTTCGAGAATCTTTATCTGATTTATAGGTAGCTGTTTCATGAACTTTCACAACTTTGCCAAAATTGATAAAACTGTGCAGTGGGACCAATATGATTTTCTTATCTTTTTCTTTTTGAATGATAGCATGGGTATGTGTATCAGCACATTGGGCACTTGCTATTGATAAATTTCCTTGAGAATGAACACTAGAAACAGAACATCGACGAGTCTGTTGTTTTTCCATCTAAAATAACAACAATGGTTAAATACTCGAAATTAATGTTTTTAACAGAAATTGAAAAAAGAACTATTTTAATTCTTCTTAGATATAGTTAATTTATCAACTGTGAAGCAACTTCTATTAAACAATTGTTAGAAGTTTGTTTAAATTCTGAACATGCACTTTCTTGAATACAACGAACATTCTATAACGAACAACTATTGACAATGAACGAATACTTATACAATAAACAAATAAAAATGCTCATTGGAAAGATTTATTGTTGATAAAATCACTATTTTCTCTTTCATTTATGAACCATGAATGCTTCTTTTTACATAAGATTTATTTATTTACTGCAGACGATGCTAACTTTCAATCATAGATGGCGTCGTCGACGCTATCTGTTGCATGATTACTTGTATAATCTACTGTTCCTGTTTCTTATTGAAGTGAATTTTTTTCGAGAATATGAAAAGATTGAAAAAAATCTAAGAATGTTTTTTCGCTTCATCTACACTAGTAAATCAGATTTTCATTTGAAATAATATCTAATTATGAACATCATCGAGTTGAAATTGATGAGGAGAGCAATTACAATTATTAAAGCTATGGATTTGCTTTTCATTCATTTAAATAGATAAGCTTTTATTTATTGATATTTTACACTGTTCGCTTGTTCGTGAGTGCTATCTGCAAAGAGTATCAGACGTAGATTTGCTCAAGTTAAATAGTATAACGAGACAAAATAAATGATCAAAAGTTGTTGCTTCGATGTATTTCATGCATATTTATTTGATATTTGTAGCTTTTACACATCACATTATTGCTATTTTACAGGCTCAGTTTTGATGATAGACAAGATGATAGATTAATCAAATCAACGAAACTTATTTAACGTTCTTAATATCATAGTTAAATTTTTCCTAGTTTAACTTACTATCAAAGTTCTTTGACTTTTCATGTTTTATTTTGAGGACGACAAATGATTGCTATTGAGTAGTTTTATGAATAAAACTAAATTCTTTTTTTAAATTGATTTTATCATTATTGAAAGTTCTCATTTGAGTTACTTGAATAGTTATATTAAGAAAAAACAACGAGAATATATATTTAATAAAATAAAGTAAATTGATATTGAACGTCGAATTCCGATAGTGCTGCAAGTGATTTTATTTCTAAAACAACTGTTTCACATCTTCTCTTGAATGGAAAAGTTTGTCAAAGTAATTTTTTGAAATTAAAAAAAAATATTGAATAAAAGTTACTTTTATGAAAATACATTTTCTAGCAAAACTAAATATGAATATTGTCAATTAATAATTTAGTAAAAATTAAATTTTTTTGACATTATATCATTTGTAGATCTGTAGATTTCATATGACTTCATAACTCATATAGACTGCGTATGCCATGCGACAACGATTGTGGTCATATATGGCTGCGCGGTACGTATACATGTTTCTTAATCATTGGTTCACATGTTCTAATCTCATTTCTATCATTTCAGATTCATCCACATGTCAATATGCTAACAGTTCGTTGACCTAAGTAAGGCAAAGACCATGCGATAGAGGTTATCCATGGCGACTCAGATCAAACCTGAGACGAACTTAAATAATTTTCTTTTTCATTTTTAATAAATGGTATGGGACGCGTCTGGACGCGCTTTTATATCGAACTGCGTTTTTTCGCGATTTCTTATTTACCTGCGTCTAACCACAAATTTATTTCAAACGCGTCTCAACGCAGTTTTGTTTGAACCGCGTTTATTCCCGATTTCTTATTCGCCTGCGAATAACCACAACTTCATTTCAAACGCGCCCGAACGCAGTTTTTTTGAAAAACGCGTCCCCGGTGAAACATTCGAAGCGTCTAGACGCGTTTTTATTTGAGATTGAATTTATTTAATCCAACCGCGTCTGAACGCAGTTTTGTCCGAAGACGCGTCCCCTGTGAAACATTCGAAGCGTTCAGGCGCGTTTTTACTTCAAAACACGTCTATCTCCGATTTTTTGAACAACCGCGTCTGAGTGAGGTTTTATCTTCAGTCGCGTCTAAACGCTTCGAATGTTTCACCGGGGACGCGTCCAAACGCGTCCTCTTTGCGTGTTTCGCACGCGAATAAAACGCGTTTCAG